ACGGCAAAACGGCAACGATGTACAATATGTGGGAGCAATGCCAGCTGTGGGTTCAGCACGTATTGCAACTCAAGAATTGTTTCAGGTTGGAAAGGAGACGTGATCCCGGTTTCTACGCTTGCACGAAGACCTGCGCGATGTGGGCTCAATGCGGACGGTCGGCATACATTTATCCAAGATACCGTTCATGCTAGCTAACTTCTCCTCTAGGTTTCTACTAGAGCAGCAAACCTGGCCTGAGCTCGAAGACCTTGTCGAAGTAGGCAAACTGGCCTTGGCAACTCTTCCTGAACAGGACCCTGAGCTGTACAACCTAACCTCGCCGGACACGTATATTGCACAGATGTGGGCGCGCCGAGGTCACTACCGTCTGGCCATAGAAGTGATGGTGAGCGCACGCAACATGAAGCTGAAGGCTCCTCAAGAAGATCACCAAAACTTGAGCTGGATGGCGAACAACATATCTGCATTTTACTCCTGCCTAGGCGAGTATAAGACCGCTCTGGAATGGCAGGAAACCAGCAGGGTTTCTTGGGAGCGATGGGCCAAGTCTGAGAATGTTGACTTCCATTGGCACCCGAACCAAAGATACGGTCAGGGAAGAACTTTGGCTTACATGAAGAGGTACGACGAAGCTAGAACCGACATCGACGAATCCCTAGAGGACATGATGACAACCAAGCCGGTCATTTGGGGGACGGCGGGACCGTAAGTTCTGAACCCCCGAAATGAACTCTATCTCAAGTATTTTGGACAGCTCCGGCTAATGTCTCGTTGTTTTGCCCAGGTGTCAGTTCGCTCGTGCTAGACTAGCCATGTTTGAAGGAGACTTCAAGCTTGCTGAGCTCTTGTTCCAAAGGGCGCAAAGCATATGGCTCACGGGCAACAGTTCCAGAACGTCGGACTTCTACGCGGCTACAATTTACCGGATGGGATGTTGCGCGCTACTCGAAGGAGAAGTGGAACGAGCTATGTAAGTCTAGATCTGGAAACATACAGTTGCCTTTGTTAATACGACCCAGGAAATATCTCCAAGACGCGATGGCAATTACATCATTGCGAAAGGATATCCAGGTAGGGGAGCATGCTCGCTGTCTGTACAAGCTTTCGGAGGCTCTCTATCAGATATCTGGTCGTGAACTGGAAGCGGACAGACTGCTCAAAGAAGCCGAGGAGCTCTACTGGAAGCGTGTCGAAAAGCCCAAAGGTGTTTCGGAGGAAGACCACGCAGAGTACGAAGTACCACAGATTCATCCCCAAGAGGAAGACTATGACTCTCTGGTCTATATGCTATGGCGCTGAACATCAGAGGGAACTTTCATAGCTGTAATTTGATATTGGATCCAATCCTGGTGCCGAGAGCCGAAGAGCCGATCCGGAATGTTTCCCTTTCTAAGAAACACCTATTGATGGTCCAATTGTAGTTATTTTGATTCCGTGCTGCCTTAAGGTAAGGCAGTGACTTGATGGCACACATGGCTTCAGTGGCTAGCCTGTGACGCGCAGTTCGCCGTATAGGCGTCAGGGGGAAGACGGCAAACGGTGTAAACCAAAGTATCGTCGAGCTACGTGAAGATAACAACCTTGCTTCAAAAAGATGAAGGCCCTCAAAACGTGCTTCCATGAGTGGAGTACGGATACATGCTCAATAGGAGTTGAGCGGTCTATGGTGAATGGAGTCCCCCATGACCGTGTCCTTTTCCGAAGAAGGGAGGTTAGATTAGGCGAGGGACCCGTCGCGGTACCTTCTGCATGGTGAGGGTCTGCTGACTAAGATAATTAGCGTGCACGTCCACATCTGAGCTCCCTGAACATTCAACCTCTTTCAACTTCGAAGAGCTCAACTTCACGACAAACAAATACTTGCGACAGACAGCGGATAATTGCACTTTGCTTGTACTTTGCTATCTCCGAATATTTCCTGTTACCATACAGGATTCGAATTGGATCGACAGGCTAATTCGGGCAGGTGCCTACTGTCCTCAGCAATATCGAACGAAGTGAACCTACCACGAGACCAGATCCACTTCATAGCTTGCGACGGACTTCATCAACGAAAGCGCAGTATGTGCTAGCACATCCAGCTTATCCCGCGGTCATCTTAGCTGTTGAGTCCTCATCAATTTGACTCACGGAATCACTGGCAAGCTGCCTCTGGAGACCTAGGGACTGTCTGAGGCGGCCGTTCATCTCATCGGAGCTCTCAGTCGGCCCTGGCGCGAACCTCACTGCCGTCGACTTCTGAGCAGCCCTACATCAGCCCAGGATGTCGGACTTAGTAGAGTACTCGGTTGTAAACGTGTGTCGAAGCGACGGCCAGGACAATGGAGCGGGGTACTGGCCAACCCCTGCCGATACGGCTGCGAAGAACGCGAAGAAGACAGCACTGGAGAAGGTACCGAGAGCGAAGCCTCAAATGGTGCGGTTAGACAAAGACGACGCAAGATTTCAAGAGTGGCGCATAAAGCTGGGAATCTTGTTGAAGCAAGAACTCTCTCCGACAGGTAAGCTCGCCGTACGCAAATGAGAAGTAGTACGCTCACTGACACCCTCCATAGAGGGTCTCCCCTGGCTCTTACATTTTCCACGGGGCTACTGGCTGTACGAAAAGTCCAAGCATCTTTGGGTCTCGGGGCATCCAGTAAAGTCGAAGCTTTACAAGAGCCCACAGGAATTTGGTCTTCATGTCCTATGGCTCCTGTCCGGCTCGTTGGACCGAACTGACTGCCGTTGTATTCACTGCAACGTTCGCGAAATGCCAAATATGGAGGATTTGACTGTCTCGGATGTTCCCCGGCCTCTGCCAGCAGCGAACATCACTCAGCCACCGTCCAAAATGCGCAAGATTACACCTCAAATACCTCCAGGCGTTGCGGCGTCTCCGATACCCGTTCCCGCGGCGGCGTCAACGCCTCCAATTGCGAAGAAGGAGACACCTGTGCCAGTGCCCACCCCAATGGCGAAGAAGGAAACTCCAGTTCCGATACCAACGATACCTTCACGCGCGGTGCCCGCCTCCGCCCCTGCGCAAGCCCCAGTTCAGTCTAAGCCTCCAGTACAGCAGCAGCAGCAGCAGCAGCCTCCTCAGTCGGCCCAGGCAGCTCCTGTTCATCCACAAGCTCAGGCCCCATCACAGGTTCCCGTTCAACCTCAAGTCCAGCAACCGGTACAGCAACCAATCCAGCAGCCGATCCAACAGCAACAGCAAGTTCAGCATCAGCCTGCACCAGCTCCGGCCCAGGCTCAGCAGCAGGTTCAAACTCAGGTACATGCGCCGGCACCGCCAGTCTATCAGCAACCGCAGTTCCTGCCTTACCCTCAGCCTTACGGCGGAATTGTAGCTCCGGCTCTGTTCCGCGTTGGAGAACTGGTTTGGTTCCAGATATCGTCAGGTTGGCGTTTGGGCATCGTGGCTGCTACAGGCATTATCAACCCTAATACCAACAAAGCCGAGCTTCAGATTCTTCCAATGTCACACGTCAATTTTAATCAGTCGCCGATTCAGACGCTGGAAGCGACAACGCGTCCGTTCCTGGCATTTTCGGTGCCTAACGTCAGCATTTCGGACCTGCAAAACAAGGCCTACGACGAGGTCGACTGGGATGCCTTCTTCCAGACAATTACTCCGGAAGACACGCACCGCCGTGAGGTTGCACTGCTCGACTCTTCCAAAATGGCTGCCCAGAAGGTGGGTGTGTCGTTCTCTGTCTTCAGCCGCCTTTCCGAGACAAATGGAGGCAAGAAGATTGACTACCACGGTATTTTCCTGGGCGCCGAGCGGATTGAACTTGGAGATGTCCTGCGCGTGCGTCTTTCTGCTGAACAAGGTGTACCTCCCGCGGCAGCGAACCTTCCGGACGCACTCCTCGGCCTCCGTGAGATCTGCACCGCGCCCATCGATTCACCTGGTAACGCATTCTTTAAGGGGGATATTTACCAGCCCATCACCGGCGACAACCAACCTGTGGGCGGCATTCCAGTACCGGACGACAAGCTCCCGCGCCCATTGCGGGACGAGATTGCGTTCCGCAACAAGTTTGCTGCGAACGACCGCTGGCGCTGCGTGCTGCTCAAGCAGAACGCCGTCCTCCGCGAGCCGGATCTCAAGGGCCGATTCTACCCCACGCATAAGCTCCTGCCCCTGCTCGATGGCCAAGCCAAGGTTCTTGCTGAAGTGCAGAAAGGTATTGTGCGTGACGTGCAGCAGCGACTCAACCAGCGCATCGACACGTTCAAGACGGCGTACATTGGCCAGAAGCGGACCCGCGTCGAGACTATCGGGCCTGCTCTGCCTCCTGGCAGCGTGATCCAGTTTGAGCAATCTGTACGTGAGGATGGTGCCTAGGCGGGACGCCTACGACGCCGTTAAGGAGAGAAGTGTCTCATTAGTGACGAAAGAATATGAGATCGTACTTGTTAGGATAGACAGGCATTGGAGCCCTGTATAGAATAGGAATACTACATAGAAGACGCCGTTAGGATTTGATGTTACCAATCGGTTCTCTGGAGTGACTAGTCGGACGTGAACGTGCCTTTGCATTTCTTAGTATTTTCCATGTGAGCCATCTAGCCTGGTAGGCTGTAGCTGACTAGAGCACATCTTCATGTGAGTCTTTGGCCAATACTACTTGGACAACAAGCCAAGACGGATACGCCGAGCGGCAAGACATGACCAAGTTGGTAGCATCTTCACTCCTCTTCAAGAGACAATAGACGTCGAAAAAGTAAGTCGACGGGATAGGTAGGTGACACAGGTCCAAACTGGGATCTGCAACATCCACAACCTCAGACGCAAGACATCAGCCTTCAACGAGTATATCACAGACACACACATAAACGCCATCATCTTAACAAGAAACAACAGTACCATCCAATCAGCCAAGAAAAACCAGCCACACCCCATCTCCTCAGCCCCGCCACTCCCTTCCCCCAAGACCATCTTAAATGAACCTCATCCAATCAACATGCTGTCAGCTAATCTACCTATTCATAAATTAGGTCCCATAACATAGACCACCAAACCAGTGGAACCATCCATGAGAGGAGGGAAGGGAGAGAGAGAGAGAGAGAGAGAGAGAGAGAGAGAAAAGAAACGTTCCGTGGTCTCCCAGCTCCGTGTCCAGCCAACCATCCACCAGAACCCAAACTGCCGGACGGGGCCAGACGCGCAACACACACGGGCTGACGGGTTCACCACCACACCCACACACCCGGCCGGCGGATAGGACCGACCGAACAACCTGCCCGTCAGAAGGGAAACTAAGCAAAACGCCACCGGATTACCTTGACTTCACTACACACACCAAACTTTACCACTCTCTAGTCTCTACCACTGCTACTGGTACAGTTACCTACACACACCTCACTCTTCCTATAATTCTGCAACGCTATACCCGTACACGTGCAGACACGAACTTTGGCCCCCAAACCGCACGCACGTCAGCAGAGAGGCCCGTAACCTAGCCCAAGATTGTATGTACACTCTGTTCCTGGGACCCTTATTCGTCCCAAGAGAACCGCCCTTTCCCAATCCAACAACTAGAATTTTCGAAAAGTCAACGTTGTCTAGGCTCCTTCCTTCTTCTCGGCCCCTTTTCTAGCTTGCCTTCTAGAAGAGGTGTTATACGGATTTACGGATTTTGGAAGGGGGGGGGGGGCGGGTCGGCTGAGGTCCATCTACCCACACACACAAGGGAACTAAGTGTGTAGTGTACGGATAGACGCAACTGACAACCAACCAACATCTTCTACCACCACCGTGGCGAAAGCCCAACCAAGTCAGTGGAAACCCTCTCCAAGACCATCAAGGAAATAAGTCATTGTATCCGTAGCCTTTCAAACACCTTCTATTATTTCTTTTCACCAAATGAAAGCCCCGAGAATCCGTATCCAATCCGCCCTCCCAACTACAACACCGCCCGCCAACCCAGCCCCCAATGGAACACCAACACCCAGCTCACCCACACACACATTACCTTAGGAAGACGGTAGACCACACACACACACACCCCTCCATCACACCGCATCCAATGATCCCGATTCCCGCTTCCGCCACCCCCTTTCAACCACCACCACCACCACCTCCCGGGCTCACGGGCTCGTGTAGGTAGTGCCAGCAAAGCCCCCAAAATACGCAACGACACGACTGACCATCCAGAAAAAACCGTTGCCGACCGGCTTCCCAGGTTTTGAAGCGGGTATCTAATGGGTCGTCGGTCTGTGCTTGGCAAATTATCTGTACCGGTAGGCTTCGTACCATGGTAGGCGACAACTCAATCATGACCAAAATCCCGTTTTCTGTCCAAACTTGCTTTTTTGGCACCTCGGCACGTCTTAACAGTTTTGGAATTAAGACATACGCAGGTTACGTTACACTACGTGACATCGTCGGAGGAAAAAACACACAACGAACGACTCAGTCTTCGTCACCTAGCACTAGAGAAAGGTCAGATGAGATTATGATCCCAGTGAAGAAACACCCCGAACATTCGGGCCGATGATACGTTCTCGGATATTTCACGGTAATAGGTCGATCACGGTCTCAAATGACACAATGGGCGGAAAGGGACAATAGCCTATCCAAAAGCCAAGTTTTGGGGTCAAAAATGCCCGTTCTTTGGGTATACTTTGATAAAAAGTACCAAATGGTAGTAGTATGAGTAAATGATGGTTCGTGAGAGATGGGAAGAAGGTGACGATGAGATGAAAGGAGAATAATTCGCTTTCCGCTTGTAGGCTAATCCGCCCACCCTGATTGGACCCGTATTGTCGGTTCTGGTCCGTACGCCTAACATTACTGCTCTGTTCTTTGTCGCTGCAATGCAACTCCTCTGCTTCATTCCAAGCCGCCAGACTCCGATTCGTCCCGTCTTCCGCGATTATGGCCTGATCCACCCCCTCCTCCCAATCCAGGTGCGTCAGGGTACGTCTTCTCTCCCTCAATTCTTCCTTTCTTTTTCTCTTCGAAACAGGCTAGTTGTATGCAGTAGGTATAGGTCGCTTCGCTCGGCAGTAAAAGGTACTTTTGTGTGGTCGAGACAATGCTGGGTCGTGATCGCGTGGTGCGTCAGTGCTTCTTGTTCATCGTCATCCCTCTGACTGGTGGCCAAGACAGAGGGGTATGCATGGCAGCGGCGGAATAAAAGGTATGATGTGATGCAGATGATGATGGTGATGGATGGTCGTGTAGTGTCGTTGTAGTGCAAGAAATGAAAAGAGATGTTGAATGCATGTGCAACATGAACAAATCGGATGAAGGTCCTGTGGTGCTGCGTTGTAATGGAGGTTGACCAGTAAATGCCGAAGGCTCGCTAGTAGAGGTCCACCACTCCGCCATGTCCAAGAGCCTCCAATCCAACTCAATCAAGTTGGACGGTGTAAAAGTTCATGGCTGGCTGTGTCATTACTTGAGTTTTAGACTCTCGATCTTGGCCTGTATGCTCTTGAGTATCTCTGGGTCTGGCTCGGGTTCGACCTTGCGTGGCTTCAGACGAGAACAGTCGACACACTTCTCATGCTGACATTTCTTGCATGCGGTTCCATCTTCCACACCGCCAGGGTATATCGTCTTGCACTTGTGGCATTCGTGATGCGGCACAGCATTGGGACCAAATTCATCGCCAGGGTAGCCAAACGGATACTTGTCCTTCTTGGGCCTGATATAATGTTAGCTGTCAGTCTCCTTGACACACAGAATGGTGCAACATACGGGTCTCTGGGACAGTCGGTGCAGCGGTTGTGGCTGCACTTGGAGCATGTCTTGCTGCCAGCAGTGAAGAGCGTCTGGCACTCGTGGCAAGTTCTCCTGACCCTCTGGCGCGGCTTCTTGTAAATGAGATCCTGTCCTCCGGTCTTGCTGGGGCGCTTGAGGACAATATCCTTTGCGTTCTTGGCGTCGTAGGAGTAGTCGGGAACGATGGGTGCGTTCTCCTTCTGAGCCTTGAGAATGGCGGCCCGCTTCTCCCGGCTGGCGATGCGCTCGGCCTCGGTCCGCTTGGGCGGGTGGCGGACGCACTTGGTGCAACGAACGTGCTGGCAGCCCGGGCACTCTTTGGCGGCAGCAAAGGTGGCATTGCACTTGTGGCAGGTTCGGTGGACGCGCATGCGAATGGGCTTCTCGACGCGGAGAGCAGTACCCTCGGTAGAGATCCACTCGCTCTGCTTGATCTCGAGACCGAACCTCTCGCCCAACTTCCTGGCGCGCTCCTCAAAGAGCTCGGATCGAGGAACTCTGGTGACGCCCTCGAGGTCCTCGTACTTGCTCTTAGGCGCCTCCTTCTTGGTGGTATCCTTGGCGGTCTCCTTGGTGGTGGTGGCGGCAGCGGCAGGTTGCTCGGTCGCGGGAGCGGCGGTGGACGGACTGTATGCACGTTAGACAGGTAACGCAGGCAGGGTGCCGTGACACCAAAAACAGTTAAAGACGACAAGGCATGCGAAATGTCTTGCTTACCCAGGAGTAGCGGCTTGCGCAGAAGACTGCTGTCCAGTGGTGGACAGGGTCGACATGCGCTTGGAGCTATCGCCCCTCTTGAAGACAGTCTTGGCGCGAGACAGAATCTTGCCCAAACCCTTCTTCTCCTTCGGGACCGAAGGCCCGGCCTGTGCTGGCGAACTCATGTTTGGCGATGTTGTTGCAGGTTGGTGTTTTAGTCGGATCGATTTCGAAAACGTGGGATCCCTGGGTCAATTGTGGGCTGTTCTGAGGATAGATGGTAGGATCTGCAGTGCACTAAAATCCAATCGAACAGGACTAGGTTGCTGCTGTTTAGATAAGTTTGCGAGAGGGACAATTGTTTTTTGAGAGAAACGAGAAGTCTGTTTGTCGTTTTGTATCGAATCGAGTGTACGGGTGGCGTGGGTGAGGTGTAATGGGAAGATGGGCGGGAGAAATGGTGCTGTGTGGTTGGGCGATGTTGGTTCGTGCAGTCTTAGACAGATGGGACCAAGGCCGGAGGCGATGAACTGGGCGTCGATCGTCGGCGGTTACAGCGAAGCGGGAAAGTTGAGATGTGAGTGCTGGCGAAAGCAAGATCCTTCGCAAGACGGTAGTTTGTCCTCTTCTTGCCGTGGCCTTTTTTTGAGGGGGGACGGACGAGAGAGGGAGAGAGAGAGAGAGAGCAGGAGTCGGATCGCGAACGAACTGCTCAAGTTGTTCGGGATGAGTCGGCCTGGGAGAGAGGGTGTGGTGTAAGAAGGGGGAAGACGAGGAAGAAGAAGGACGGGAAAGCAAAGTAAGTTGACGGGGAGGACGTGGTTGAAAGGAAGTGTGGAAAAAAGTGGGAAAACAAGGTGCAGCGTGCTAAGAGGCAAGGTTGAGGGAGGCTAGAGTCGAGAAGGGCTAGTGCTGGGTGGAAAGGCAGGTGCCAGGCTTGGGTTTGGTTTTCCTTGGTGACTTCCATTGGGGGTGGTGGCTTCTGGACTCTGAGTCTGGTCTTCCATTCTCTATTCGTAAATGTACCTTGACACACTACCTTTGGTGTACAGTACTGCCTAAGGTACGGATACACATACCTCCTCTCTCTCTTCAACTCCTCATGCAACCTTACTCTACTGTGTCCCTAGACTATTCTCTCTCTCTCATTACCGGTGGCTCTGCCTCTTTCTACTCTTGCAGGTTGCGTCTTGCGTCGGGTTGCAGCTCCACGACACGACCAATCCAATCCATTCACCTACGAACGCCAATGCCAGTTCGGTCCCAGACTTTGCAGTTGTCCTCATCCACCCCCCCGGTGCGCACCACATGTTCATGTTCACGTCCCATGCTCCATACAGGTGCTGCTCTATGCCCGGTCGGTCGGTCGGTCGGTCAATTTGGCAACTTGATGCAATTTGCAGCGACGTATCTGTATCTGTATCCGTACCAAGCAGATATGGCAGCACAGCACAGCACAGCACAGCACAGCGCAGCGTATCCGGGAAGTATGTATGTAGTGCAGTGCAGACACAACAGAGAGGCGTGGGCAGTACGAAAGAGACCGGGCAGGAGACGGGGCAAGGCGCAAGAGACAGAAAACCCACCACAAAAAGACCAGACGGCGGCCAAACCAAACATGGACTCCAATGCAGTGGTAACACTAAAAACCCACCTCGCTGGGAAAGTGGTGACTGGTCACAGCACGGTGGCTCCCATGGCTCCTCGACGAGTGGAATGGCCCCATGCCGGAGACGAGATCCACAAATGAGGCGGGTCCCCCTCCTGCTGCTGCTAAAGTGTTTGAGAGGTACGTACCTAGCCTGGCCGTACCGGAGGAAAGGACACACCAGAATTGCGACAGACACCCGACAGCCCAGAGACACATTCCAGCCAGCTAGCACCAAGCATACCAAGCGTCAGCACAGGCGCTGGGACACTTGGGACCGGGGATTGGGACTGGGACTGTGACTGGGACAGGGGTGTGCTGTGCGTGGAATCGTGGACTGTGTGGATGGGGGTGGTCGTGGCGGGTGGGGAGACGACGATACGTATCGACAGAAACCCATCCCAGCAATCCACAATCCACACTCCACCTCAGAGGCTCAGGTTCTCTTCCATTGGAAAAGCACGGAAGTTGGGTTGGACGAGGAGTCTGCCCGGAGGACGGGAGACGAGGGAGGGGCGGCGGCGAGTGGGCGTGTTGGAAGACAACGACGAACACTCTATCCCGTCCCGGTCTGTGTCTGCGCTCACCTCTCCTCTCACCATCTATGATTGTGAGGTGGTCACTGGTGAATGAACCATGGGCATCAGGTCGGTTGGCACAAAAAGGTGGAGAAGGCGAGGCCCAGAGAAGCGGGGGGCCCTAGTACCTTCCAATTGGGAAGAATGTCCGAGCTTTTCTGGTTTCTGAGATGTGCGAATCTCTGGCACTGGGAACTCTGGGGGCCCTCTGACTGGGGACTGAAAGACTGGAACCGTGTCCCCAAAGTGGAGTCTTTCTGAAAACCCTGGCAACCCTGTCCAGAGCCACCAGGTCGCAGATATCCCTGTCCCAGGAAAGAGGCACGACGGGACTGTGGGAATTGCTAAAAGTGGGTCCCAGACCCGGGGATTCGCACGGAGCTGGCTCTGGAATATGTCCGGAGCTTAGCCCATCGGGGACGAGAGGGGTGTATGTCTGTCTCCCTTGTCCAATCCCATCCAAAGTCTCTTGTCTTTCTCTTTCTGTTTCTCTCCCTCCCATGGGAAGCCGAGGAGCCCAAAACTCTTGAAGGTGGTGTTCGTTCCTGAGTCTGACATCCGTGATACACGTCTTAGCTAAGAACCCCCCCCCCCCTTTCTCATCGTACATACATTGTGCGCTCTGTGAACTTGCAGCAGCAGGAAGCAAGATGTGCAGAGTCTGGAACCTGGCTTATTGCATTGCATGTGAGGCTCAGAGACAACATAGGCACACACAGGAGGTGAGACTTTTGAAGCCTGAAGGATAACGACTCTCGAAGACCGCTTGTTGCATCCGCGGAGAAGAAACAACAAACACCTTTACTATGCACGCCTTGGACGCCTCATACAAACAAAAACACCCACCATCACAAGTCCCGTATCGTCGGGTGCGCTAACGCTAACTTTAGAGGGAGGGAGAGAGAGAGAGGCTCGGCACAGGCATAGGCTATAATGACATGCTCTCTCCAACTAAAGCCAGCCCACGCCCCCAGGTCATGGTTGTTGGCCGCCCAGTTGCCCAGGTTCGAAGGAAATCCTGAGAAGGGCGGTAAGCGATCAGCTAGCCTAGCTTGCCTAGAAAGATGGCGCGCGCCATTGCTCATATTCAGGCGTTCCGTAGCGTGCTGCCTCCCACCTTCGAGGAAAGTGCCTACGAAAGGTACGGTGCAAGACTAGAGGAGACAGCTTTTGTGGCTGATGCAAAAGTACCGTACCAAGCCAACCAAGCCCTGAAATACTATAGCCCAGACCTGCGAATAGGGATATGGGATTATTCGTTTGTAATTAAAGCTCTGAGAGAACCCCCCTTCAACTTTGTGGCTAGGTTATTAGTTTTCAGCCTTCCCGTCCACATCCCTTCTTAGGGTCTTAGCATTCCAGCCGCTGCTGGTCCTGGGTCGGTTTTCCCTGTCTCACTGATGACAGGAAAGGGCGGTAAAGGGCCAAGGAATGTAAGGAAAGAACGGGCGTACGGGATCCAGGAGACAGGAATGGGAAGAACGGGGTTGTGTGTTTGTTGGGTTGAGGACCGAAAAGCTGGTGTTGAAGAAAAAGCCGGCAACCAGAACCTCGGATCGAAAGAAAAAAACGTCGAAACGGATTCGCCAATTGGCTGCACACCTTTTTTTTCCTTTCCGCAAGCGATGTTGGGACTTTGTATAGTACATACTACCATTTGAGATATCATTTGCGGGCTGCGAAATCTAGATCGACTCTGTGCAATCAGAAAAAGGGGAGCAGGAAATAAAAGAAAACAAAAAAGAAACCAGCCAGCTACGAAGTGCACTCCGTACGGAATATCACCGACCACCTTATTAGTCCTAGTCCCTTCAACCTGCGGTATGTTGTGCACCACTTACTCCGTGGTACGGATACATATCATTCGAACGGGACGGACGGGGGGCCCGCCATCTGTTGATAGCAAGCCGGACCCGAAATGGTTTAGTCGGACGGGCCTCCCTTTCCCTTCTTTTTTACCTTCCCGCACCGGGTCGCGGATATAAGTGTAATCTTTCGCAGCGAGCTAGCCCAGATACGCAGTAGATGCAAGAGGGCGCTTTCCCCGGCGCCCCGTTCCTCGGCCCATCTCCATTCTGTGGTTCCTGTGGTTCTCGAATCTCAGAAAGGGTTATCCGTACGTAGAGAGGTACGGTTCCGGGAACGGCAGCGTCCTCCACTCCGTGATGGGGTGTGTTTGACCGATGCGATATAAGATGCAGGCCGCAGGGAGATACGGGAAACCCCACCCCATAACCAAACGAAAGGGGAAGAAAAAGCGTATGCGTTGGTTGTTCAATTGAATGAACCGAGGAACCTCCGCTTCTGTTGTTGTCCATCCGAGCTTTTCGCAACATCTGGTCCCCCTGGTTGAGTCTGGCCTGGGCTGATAGTATCCGTCCACGCTCCTAACTAGTAACGACACCCATGTAGTAAATGCAAAACCCTTTGGCTACCATCTGGCGAGACACCTGCGTAAGAAACCTGAAGTGAGCCACAGCCCGACAGGCCTCGCGTGGCTTGGGTCCCGACTCCTCGCCCGAGCTGGAAAGAGTAATCCGCAAAAATCAATCAAGCAATGGGATTGGACACTTCATCGGAGACCAAGGGAAAGGAGGGGGGGGAAGGATTAAAGTAAAGTAAGGCATCACGGCATCTCGCCTCGTTGAAAATCCAACCTCTAAGCTACGTACCGTTGCCCCCCCTCTTCTTTCCCTTTAGGAGCCAGGCCAATGGAACGAGATGTCGGACCTAGCGCCCCCAAAGAGGAACACACCGTCCTCCGTACCTGTTTGTACATGCATTTAGGTATCGTGAGGAAGGGGGCAGGGAGGACAAGCGCGTGGTCCAGCGATCAAACGGTCAGGTACGGAGAGGTAGACACGCCTCTTTTTTCGAAGAGTGGCTAAATGCGGGTGGTTGCACCTTGTTCATTTCAATGTGCATATATCGTAGCTTATCATCACCTCCGTCTTCCCGCTGTCCCTTAATACGCGCGCCAAAGGCTGCAATTGAATATCTGGGAGATTCCGGAGAGTTGAATTGCAAAAGATACGTACTTTGCAGTGTAATACCATTGTTTCCTTCTGGACTAGGTACCTAGGCATTTTCTCCGTCTGTCCTCCGTCCCTTGCTGATCAGGGCAAGTTCTCTCCAGAAATTCAGAGTCCAGACTTTACGACATGGCCCCATCTTCTACCCAAACGAAATGTCTTTTAGGTTATTAGTGAGGTTCACTCGCGCCGCGATGTGACTTCCAAACCGTTAGGTCTCCCTCTCGCCCCCTCGCCCCCTCGCCCCCTTCCAATCCCAACTGACCCCCGGTCGGATGGTATTCCCGTCCATAGACCGACGACGATCCCAGTACTTCATCCCCGAGACCACCCCAGGATCGCAAAAAACCCCGTCAAAGGGGAAAATTTCACGTCCCAAAATCCCGAGGGGAAGGATAGGTTGGCAGCAATGCTGAGGCGAAGCAGCAAGGTAAGGGTTAGGTGAGAAAAGAAAGAGAGAGGGATTGAACTTCCGTTACCAACAGGAAGGATTCGCGAATCCATGTTGGCGAAAAGCCTAGCAAGCCGCAAACCTGCCTGCTGTTCGGCCCTCGTGTTTGTTCATCAGATCAGATGTGTCTCCCCTTTACCGCTCCTTTACTTCCTCATTGCCAGCACGTGTCAGATATGAGTCGATCTGGGGTGTGTATCCGTATGTGTGTGTGTGGTGTCCCAACGAGCGGGCGGTCTCATGAGCCCGCAGACGGAGCCTGGTTCTCCCCTTGCTCATGGCAAAGCCCATTTCAGGTTACGTCTCTATTCTTCTTCTAGCGGTTGGGATTGTTTGCTTGTTCTTTTCCTTGACATGCTGTCTTGTCTGTCTCACTCTCGTCACAGTTGGTTTTACTGTCAGACTTATCTCTGAGCCACTGAGATAGGTATCCGTAATAACCCGTTTGCCCACTGTATGGTTACCCGATAGACTGTCCCACGTATCTGGGTGCCCTGCACTAGCCACTTTCTTATGCGTTGGTCTTTTAGGCTGGGTTTTCTCGACGCCGGAACAGGGGATTTGCACTGTTGGATCCCATGGACGGGCTGGTGTGGATTTCACGTTTGGGCGGATAGGACAGGGATTTGAACGTGGGCCAGGGATTCGGTACGGATGGGCCACTTCTTTCTCAAGCTCCCAGTGTGTGCGCGTGTTTTTGGGCTGTTTTACGGATATTCCAGTGTCACTTACTATGGAGAAACACTGCTCATACTGTATCTCAACTCTCATGAGATTCGTCGGGGGAAACGGGACACGGCTCTCTGGGCGCATTGGGGTCCAGGCGCTTTGCGGAGACAGAACGAGAGACGAACTCGAGATTTCCCATGGGCCCCATCAGAGATTCAGAGAGCCCAAGCACCGGAGCGAGGCATGTGCATTGCACACTTCATCCCGTCTTCTCCAGCACAAACCAAACATGAGCGGTCGCGGGATTATGTAAGGAGCGATCTGGACCGACCCGTCCATCTACCTTAGTCCTTAGGCAAGAGGTATCCGTATACGGTGTACCTGGCTACTTGAGGTATGTTCTCTGTGCTGTGTACCTAAGGCCTGGGTGTGGAAACAGCGCTGGGAGGACCGACTTCCCGAAACCCTCTGTCGCTTCCTCGCCAGATGCTCCGGCCTGCTGGACCTGCCCACCTCACGATGTATGGGGCAGGAGTCAGAGTTCGAGAACAGGCGCAAGAGGAAGAGCAAGAGCAAGAGCAGCAACTGCCAGCATTGGTAGGAACCACCACCAGCAATAAGCAAGGCAGAAGGAGCCCCGGACGGTTGAATTGATAAATCACAGCCGGGCCCCTGCCGCATTGCCTCTCAGGGCTTGAGTATCGTACGCTTCCAGCCCGGTCATCTAGCCTGATGCTCCCGTCAAAATCCCAAACTCCTTTCGACTCCCAAGCTTCCAGCCTTCAACTCCTCGAAAGGCCTTCTCTTTTGGGCGGTGTCCACGCGATCAATAACAAGGCCTGCTCTTCTCCCCCACTTTCATCTTACGGCCGCAATCACAGCTGGTCATGGTTTGTCTCAAGGATGCACATTACACAGTGCCCTCTTCAATCCCAGCCCAGCGGTCACGACAATGCTTTTTTGTTCGAGAAGCATTGGCACGGGCGCTTAGTTGTCTAACGCGCAGAGAGGAATCCAAGAAATGCCTTTTCTGATCTGTCTCTCACCAAGGTCGCCCGCCCCCTTCAATATGTCCCCAAGGATCTGGTCCAAGGCAAACAGGGAACCGCCAAAGCCGAACCAGCTCGTTGGGATAATCACCCGCGGGAGACGAAAGCAGCGAACGGCACAGCTCGATCAATCTATGCCAATGCACGAGGCGGCCAGACATCACCGCCCGCAAAGTCTTAGCAACCAAAAAACGCCAGTCCTACCAGACTGTCTTTGCCAACCGCAACAAGTCCTATTTGGGCTGCTCTGACCGATGCCTACCTATGGATACATACTTGAATACGGAGTACGGATACCTTTGCTGTATTCTATTCCAGCCCCCAACTGCGGATACCCATTCGTGCAAAACTACGAGTATAGACACACGTCCACTGCAGACGGCTACACAGGACACTTCTTTGCTTTCACACGTACCATCTCGGCCGAAGGGGCAATGGGTTTCTCCCCACCCCTCATTGGTCTCTTGCACCGAAACGACAATGTTCCATGCGTGCTTCTACGCCATCCTTGGCTTATTGACATGCGCACGTTGAACGACGTACCCATATGTCGACTCATCTTTGTGTCACTAACCATCAGTGTCAACGTCGAATGTCATAGTCGCCGTCGACGTCAAACTAGGGTCTCGGCGCCACGCAAACACGAGTACTGACACATCAGACACGGGTGCAGCTACAGCTAGGTACTTGGATCGATCATCATACACCTTGCCTCGAACCTACAACACATAGATGGTAACCCAGGGACAGCCGGTGTCTACAATGAAGCGACCCGGCCAAAGGCAGACAGAAGTACTTCTGGGCCAGTCAGGCACTCGCCCACTTGCCTGACACTACATAACTATAGAAGAATCATGCCACCCCGCAGCTGCACAGCGGTGCACCGCATCGCAGGTCCGGAACACCACAAGCTGCATACCGGTGACACCCACTGTTGTCAGTGGTCACTTCTCCTGGGCCGGCCTCGGGGAGGCGGGCAATTCACCCTATAGCTGCTCTGGGTCCGCGCTGCGGGGGCGGGATTCTCGCTTGGAGATATGGCTGAATCGGCCGTAAACGATTTGACGGAACCCTGACGCCACGCCACCCGATTTACTTTGCTTCGACACACGAACCGAAGACGGCCTCTCTCTTCTACCCACGCGGCCGGGTCCAACTTCGAAATGGCTGCCTCATCAAAAGGCACACTTGGGCTTGGGGCGTTTGCAATGGATCTTGTCTACGAGCTTACCTAGTCCAGACCCGGCCATCGCCTCGGCGGACGATTCAAGCATGCCCACTCGGCCGACGGCAACTGACAGATTACGAGCTATATCTTTCAAGTTGCGCCTTTGCCAGACAAAGGGGCAAAGGCTACATGACACGGGAATACTAGCTATTGCCCCTGTTCCCATTGCGGACTGCGAGGCAAAAGTCAAAAGTCAAAAGTCAAGATGCAGACCGGCTGCAACAACGTCTTTCAGTGGCAGGTGAGAGATGATACGTTCTGGTGGACGAGTTGCCGCCAACCTGTCTGTACCCAATCAAGCGTATCGCCGGCGCTGCAGGCGGGCGACTATTGGTGCAAACATCGTTGCAGACGACCAGGACTCTGTAAAGACCTTCCTTGGATTAGGTACAGACAGGTGTTTTCGTCATGTGCATCAACCAGCCCCCGACTCAGGGTAAATAGGAGCAACGTGGGATCGTTCTGGCCAACGAGCAGTGACTGTTAGAACCAACCGCATAGCAGCCGCATATGACCCCCCACCCGCCGGGGTTGGCGATCACGGCGATGATACCCTCCAAAGAAAATAAGCCCATCTGGCCAGTCGGGTCGATGAAATCTTCAGCAATGCTATCGAAGTTTTGCCAGCCGAGGGACGACCCTCTTAGAGTTAGCGGTCCCAAGCTCTCAAGAAGTTCCCTGAGCCCCGCTCGAATACCACCCGTGGACAGCATCGATGCAACTGGCCTCAATTCCGGCTCCGAGCTTTACTGGAAACGGTTTTCTCTGCATGGTGCGGGGCCCGCGGAAGGACAGCCTTCGACAACTCTACCAGAGGAACCAGACAGAGGACTCAAACAGCTCGACTCTGTGTCGTCATGTCACGCACGACTCGAATGACTTGCAGCGGCTACATCTCCTCGACCCTTTCGTGTGCATGCTCGCCCATGTATTGACCAGGAAGATTTTTCTATTATTCTGCAAAGCGGCCGCTTCCCCTCTTTGTTGATTGCTGTTACAGGCTGTTCGAATCGGTTCGGACTTCATGGACTCCGTCTCCTTCGTTTTTGCTCTAACGGGAAGGGCCTTGAGGGCCAAGTAATAGACCGGCACCTCGGTCGCACCAAATGGGGCCTCTTTGGTGGCAGATCATACCCGCCGACTAATGAAGTCTACGGGTTTGAGTGGCGCTACGGAAAGATTGGTTCGGATCGACGCTTCCATATGTTGATTACCCGTCGGACCCTTTTCTCTATTTGCGGAGCACGTCTTGGGCATCCTAAAAACACTCATCGAATGTACTTGAACTCGGATGATTGATATAGAATTGCATTCTGCCAACGGAATTGACGTCTTACACTCTAGTTGTCATCGTGCCGGGTTCAACCCAGGGCAGCTAAGTCAGAGGGTCGGGAGACCCCAGCCAAGTGGTTGATGGTGCGGGCGGCAAAAGCTTTGTTTGCTCTCGGCGTCTCTTCCAATCTCATCTCTCAGATCTGCCAATTGGGGCTTCCGGTAGCTTCACAAACTCTCTACCACGAAGGAGAGAAGATCTGTTTCCTCTCTCACCGCCTGTACGAAGCCAATCAGCAGCTGAACCATTGTCTTGGGAGTTCAACTACCTTGGACGAAGGATTCTTACAGCCAGGGCATTAGAGGGAGTTGACCCCAAAGAGGCAGCTTCATCCTCGATAGGTTTCAATACGCGTGCCCAGATTTGCAGGAAAGATCCACCTCAACCTCTGGATTGCCCAATTGGCTCCTTTACGTGAGAGGCTTTGGCTTTTATGGTTTTATTGCCACAGCCAACACCTCGATTTGGAGATGATCCCTCAGCCAGCTGCAAACTTGTTACTATCAGGAAGCTCAGCTCAGCTCAGCTCATTTCAAGGGGACCAATAGGTGTACGGAACGACAATATCAACAAAGAATGCTGATCTAGACCTGGGGTTTAAGAAAGTCTTGCCAACCGTCCAACCCGACTACCAGTAATTCTGGAGACCAAGGCCGAACCCTATAGTCTCACAGGCAGCTAGCCCCTTCATTCCAAATGCCACGGGATAGACGGAACGTATCAATAACAACACTTACAGCCTTGCAACCTTGGCGGGGCAAAAACGTCGTCGCCTCCTGCGTTTCAGGGCCGCAAACTACGGATACGCCGAACCAGGCCGCCGGCGTATCGACAGCTCCCCCAGCCGCCAGTCTCGTTAGCCGCTACGAGTGCCTGGCATGAACAGATCTTGCAAATCTGCGGCGCCTTCGCGCCCGCCCGCTGTTATTTCCGGAACACCTTACCACCTCAATTTGCGCCACATGTCAATCCAAATTCCCAAGCAGACGGTGCGCCGCTCTCAACGGTTTCGGTGCGGCGGCTCGAGTTCGGTAGTGATTGGCATCGGGGGCGTCCGTCATGAGACCTCTTCATCCCTCCACTTTAGGACATCGCTTCGTTGCATTGATGACGTCCTCTGCGTGGCTGCGATGGGCTTGAGCGCGTCGATTTGGCTCCATCAGAGCTTCCAAATCATAAGTCAATGAATGCTTCTTTGAGCGTCTCCTGTGACCTGCCGGCTGCGTGTCAGGTTTGTCCTGGAAAGTACTCTTCCCTTGTCTCCTACGCCTCTGCCATGAATTTATTGCTAACAGACACAGAAGGTTACAAGCAAGTGATAATTTCCGCGAACCCCGTCTGTGGCGTATACAGTACGGGAATACTTCATCTTCACAGCAGCATACACAAGGTTGTCAGGTCGTCTCTTCTCGTGAAGACCACCTGTGCTTTCATCAGCCGTGTCGTCAAACTTGTTGCACGGGTCTCGTCTGATCGCCATGTCTTCTGGAATTCTCAGCCTCCCCGGTCCCTGTCGAACGGGCCGAGACGAAGCGTCATCTCTACTCATTCTCCCCTCGGGCCCCTCTCCCTTCCTCTGCGGGGTCCGACACGATTAACCGCTATGGAATTTGACTTCTGACTCTGCTACGGTATGGTTGCATTGGAATTTCGCCACCAGTTGGTTTCCTGTCGATTTTCTTATTGTTTGCCAATTACCAAGGTCGGGGTGTGGGCAGAAAAAGAAAAACAGAAAAGATGAGCGGCACGGCGGGTATTCCGCTTGCCGGTTTTTGAATGTAGGTCGTCCCCGGGGCCCTTGTCCTTGTGCCGGCCCGTTTCGCGTGACTTTCCCGACTTGTAGGTCAACGCCGTTCGGTCACAGAAGGGCTGCCCCCAAATGGCAAAAACTACACAGTAAGGTACTAATATCCACCCCCTTGTTTCCTTGTTGGCAATCATTACCGTGGCCGCTGCCAGTGGAAAGCCAGTTAAGAAGCTTTGTATTTCTAATCTGCTGTTTTTTGGGGGCCGTGTTAGATTGTCATCGTCGCTGGGACAGAGGTAAATCGGCTTGCAGACGTTGGCGCCCGCCACCCCCGCGAATCCGGACCCGAATTCTGGTCCGGCTTGACGTTGAGGAAAGTTTTTGGTACCCTTGCTGCTCTGGGGCACAAGGCTTGAACTTGGAGACGGCGTGGCAGCCCACCAGACGCATGATATCGACTGCGTGGCACAACAAGGGTCTTGGCGGTTGTGCTTAGAGTTTCCATGTCGCAACTCTATTAGAGTTGTGGTTGTCTCTGATAGCAACCGTCGCAAGGTGTAAGTCAAGCTAGCTATCGTGACTGTTGTTATGTTTTAGGGGGCTAATTGGTATCGAAGACTTGATAAACTCCCATGGTCTTGGCAAGGGGGCTTTGTCTCCTGAGTCCCTTTCTCCCTCGCCGGCTCACGATACCAGATAACTCTACTCTGTACACGGCGAATATCCGGCGGATGCGATGCAATATGCTCTGAAATGTTCGGATCTCGGCCACGTTGGGAAACTTTGTAGTCAATGGCGGACTAGTCGGAAGATTGTGGATTACTATTGACAGTCAAACGGGCGTTTGGGGAGAAAGCGCAATATTGGACTTTCTTCGGCCCCGGAAATCGTTCAAGTTGACCGCTTCGACGAGAAGACCGGGGGCGCAGAGTTCGCAATCGGCTTCCTCTTGGCCAGCGAAATTGCCGTTGACAAAGTTGTCAGTGCGGTTCATACTGGGGGAAAACAAAGCACGCCACCTTCCATCTCGTGATGTAGTGATTGCTGCTCGTGCACCATCACAAGCTGCTGCTGTCACTTATCGGCGCTGACGACGACACAATTTGCAGAGTTGCATGTTGAATTTTGTTCACAAGTCGGGAATGCTCGCTCTCGCGAAGATTACGATCGGTGCGCAAGAACCTGGACCACGATGGTGACATTTTGCCAGGCATGCTCACCATCGTGACTGGGGTTTGACGATCGTGGACCCCTTTCTTATCGAGGTTTATACGCGCGAATCAGCTATCTAGGACATGTGCCCTTCTCACCGTATCTGGATGCCGCATAGCTTTGATACAAGCATGTATGAGAAAAAATTGACAGGAACTTGGTCGTTCTTGGGGTGGACACGGCGATTTTCAACAGTTAGACCTCAGCGTCAACTCCATAGCTATAACGAGATGATAAATATTTGGAGGTCATGGTTTATTGATAGGATTATCGTGTCAGCAGATCAAAGGCAGTAGCCATAATAATAGTGCTCTGTGTACTGAACATAAGCTCCAAACACGATACCCGCAGTGGTTTCCCCTGAAGCACGAAGAACACTTGAGACCCTTATCACGAGTTTGTAATGAAGGCATTCGCAGATTTCAGCAGCTACCATACTGCGTACAACTGCCGCGAAGATCATCCGAACGTGCCTGATCGATCACTTACCTGCGTCAAAGTGCCGGGGGAGTACAGGCATACAGATAGTGTTGTTCATAATTCGACGTGCGCTTGTCCCTGCAAAGGGCCGATTTACTTTGCAACAGCATTTCTAAACACCGATAGCTTGGGGTTTGTTTCCCCCCTCATCCGCCCCCCATCGGCATTGTGTCCGAAGATTCGTTGACTTGGCGCCTTGGTACTCCGTACTCCGTCCGCAGATTGTGAGGTAGACTTTTCTGCCCAGGCGGCAATGGGCGGCAGACTCAGAGGCGGAACGCTTTGCAAGGCATACACGAAGACGTGTGCATGTGCGAATCTTGCGAAGAATATCCGAAAGTCGTCTCGTTGGTATACACTGTAATGAGATTGTACGAGTTTCAAACGAACTCCGTGGACGCAAAAGAGAGGGAGAGAGCGCGCCAATGGGAGGAACGCGGAATTCGACACGGGCTGGCAACGCCGAACTGGGTAGTCATCACCCACCAACGAGGCAACGACGGCTTGTGTTCCGTAGTCAGGTTCACCGTTCAGGGTGGTCGAGGGCCAATGAGAGTTGCGTGCTGTCGGGGCTTGGGTTCAACCATCCCCCCGTTGCTTTGGGGGCATGTTCCACCGCTTTAGTAAAGATGTCCCGTTTCATGATAGCTGGCCCTTTCTGCAGTGTGTATTTTTTGTATTTCTGTGCCAAGAGTGCTGTGGTTCGGGGGGTCGTTCCACGGCTTCTGCCCAAGAGGGCAGGTCAGCGGCGGTTGAGGAGTCCTGCGAGGCCCCGAATGGGACATGAGTTCGGGGGTGTTGAATGGGGTTTGGCACTGTCACGCCGGGAGATGCGCCGTCGAGCCGCGGCATAGGTGGCTCATTTCCAACGTCTTTGGTGGGGTGGTTGCGAACGCATCGTCCTGTCTCCGTTTGTTTGGACGGGAAAAGGAACCCTTTCCACCTACTGTGGTGTGTCGACAATCGACGACGACGACGACGACGACGACATCTATACGTAACCGTAGTGTATTCGTACATATGCAGACGAGGACGAAGACGGCGACGACCGACTGGCACCGCGTGGCTTCCCCGGTAGACGCGTTGAATTACGGCCATGGGTTATGGAAATAGAACCGAGCAGAGGGAGGGTTATTGACGCGCTGTATCCGTGCATAGCAATGTCACTAGGTGACTAGGATGCAGATGGGAGACTCTGCTCCGAGCCTCTGATTGCAGAAACCATGCTCATGTTGTCTCCCTGCCTAGAGGACTGTGATGTCCCGCGCCGTCACCCGTTGCGTACGACCATATGCGACCTGGGGTCTAAATTGGCGATCAAGGGCGAAGTTGGGCTGTGTTGGGGTCAGATTCTTGTTTCTCTTCCCTGCGTGCCGGTGTGATGAAGAACATGATTCCCCAGTGTTGTCTCTAATTTTTTCGGGTTCGATGGAGCTCGTATGTTGGGCACCATTGTCGATTGGACCGGCCGGACGGCGGACATTGAGGGTGTTGAAACTCGCAACGGGGTTCCTCCCAGGGAAGTTTGGATGGGCGTTGAGAGGCGAGCGGGAGGGCCCGCGGCGGCGGACGGGGGGGGGGGTCGGGTTTTGAGAAATGGAGAATCGTTCTTTCGCAAGGGACACTGGCGTGAGGTCGATGTATCCTCTGTTTTGAAGACTGAATGGGGGGATGTCAACTGCTGATCAGCATTGCGAGTTTTGTCTCCTTGCATGTTTTTTGCCCCCGTTGTAACTCTCTGTGCACTTGCAGACTTGCAGTAATTCGTAGTCTACTGAGTGTTGACCGGGGGTCCACTTCGGACGAAGCCCCTGAAGGCTGAGTGAGAAGTCTAGTCAGGAAACTTCGGATGAGTTCCTAACTTCCTATTAAGCTGGGGGCTTAGGTTCAGGACTTGGATGCTCTCTCCAGAGACTTGGACCGCGGGAAGACGGAATGTTGCGGTGGCTGTGGCAGATGTCCAAGACGTGAGCAAAGAGGATGGACGACGGCAT